AAACCATCAGGATATTCTCTCCTCAATTTTCCTTCCTGAGGCCCCTTAGATAACTAGCAGATATATCACTACAATCTCAGCCCTGCAGAACTTGCAAGGGTTTGAGGAGCAATCTGACTCAGCACCCATTGTGCCAGGTGCAAAGGAAGTCTCTTTTAACAAGGTATCCAGCTGGAACCTCCTAACCCTAACTCCCTTTGCCCCTGTCACACAAGCCACCAGGATTTCTCAAGTCTCTGGTATCAGTTGGGTTTTTGGGTAATTCATACTTGGCACAGTATCTTTGGATATATCTTTGAAGATATGCAGGACATACTCTAGAGCTAAATATAACTAAACCAAAGATCTGGGTAGATTGTAAAGGGAGGTCCTGTGATAGTGTCCATTCTCTATCTCAAGGAGACAATTACCATACCAATTACCAATTCATCTCAGACCACAGCAAAGAGCTGAAACACTATCCTAATTATCATCAGTCTCCTAATGAAAATGCTCCTTTATTCATGTTCTTCAGGGAATTAAGAAACTGACTGATGTTCCCAGCTATATAATATACAATAGAGTTTTGGTAGAACCATTCAAGGCACTCTAGGTACATCATCCCCTTAACAATGATGAGACAGAGCACATGAAGAGGCTCTTTGAACATACTACAGACAGGTTAAAAAGGCTACTTACTTTCCTACATAAAGCAATGTCTTCCGTGTATCCACAAAGCATATCTCTTTGCAAAGTATTAATAATTCCAGATTTTACTCCTTTTACTTCTTCATACCATAAACTTCCACCTTGACACGGGCAGTCTGACAATTCTTCAAGGAATTCGTGTTGGACTTCCATCCAGGTAAGCTGAACTTTGTCACTTTGGGAAGGCAGCCAAGCTGTGCACCAGGGCTTCTATAGCTCCTTTGTGCTACACCTCTTACCCCTTAGCACACTCTGGTACTGTGATACACTCCATTCACAGGCCAATCCACTGACCTCCACCACACCGCACACATTAGTTGTCCCTTTGACTCTCCAGGCCATTGTCTCCACTATTTATATTTGTATTTTAATCATCACTGAGACTTTCAGATTTGAAATATGTTGTTTTCTTCCTTGCTACAACTTAGTTTCCTCTCAGAGGCAATTTTTATCTCTTCCACCCTAGCTTATGCATATTACCCAAGTAAAGCTCCTTCCTCATTCCTGTCCTCAAGGACCCTGGAATCTCTGGCCCAGGAATGTTCCCACTTGTCTCACTCCAGCTGTATAAAAAGTCCTTACATTTCCTAAGTAAGTCATGCTCTCTCTCTTGCTTCAGTACCTTAATATACACCAAAACAAAACACCAAAAGAAACGATCTATGAGTGAGACATAATATAGATCACGATAGTCAGAAAGATTAGCCTCCTCTAAATATCTCAGAGAAAAACCTTTTAAAAGATCATAAATAAGTATGTTTTCAATATTTAGATATATTTTAAAACACACTTTGAAAAAAAAATAGCAATTGGAGGGAAAACACCAAATAAAATTTCTAAAAATGGTAACTATATTGTTTGAAATTTAAAATACATTGAATAAATAAAAGAGTATATTAAATACAGTTGTAGGGAATTGGTTAACTGGAAGATAGCTCAGAGGAAATTGTTCAAAATGCATCAAAAACAGATAAAGAAATGGGAAATATGAAGAAGGTAAACAGACAATGAATAAAATGAGAAGGTCCTAAGTATATGTCTAGTAGGCATTCCAGAAGAAGAGATTAGAAAAAATGGGAAAGAGGTAATATTTCAAGAAATAATGGCTAAGACTTCCCCAAAATTGAAGAAATTATCCTCAGATTGAAGAATCACAGTGATCCCCAAGCATACCCACTATGAAAAGCATTTTGACAACTGATAATAAAACTGAAGGTGTGCATCCCTCACAACCCAGCAATCCCCCTTCTAGACAGATACCTGCAGAATGTCTCAGACATAAGGAGTCACGTACAAGAGTGTTCACTGAAGCACTGTTTGTAATACAAAAAATTTGAAACTAAATTGCCTATCCATCCAGTCATAGATAAACTATGGCCTTTTTATCTTACCATGGAATGCCACAAATAAGATAATAAATCCTAGCTACCTATATAAAAATGTTGAAATATACATATTTACATATATACAAATGTCAAAAAATGTTTACATATAAAAAGGGAAGTTTCGGAAGGACAAGTATTGTTTACCTTTTATATAAATGTTAAATTATACATAGAAAAGTAGCTGTATACAAATGTAGTGAAAATATAAACATATGCACAGAAATGCTCACATCAACTCCAAGATAATGATTAACTTTGGTGGAGAAAAAAGGAGATGGGATTGGGGCTAATGGTTAATTATAGGTCTTTTTATAAAGGAGATATCTGAAGGTAATATGGCAAAATATTACCACCAGGTTTTGGTGCAACTTCTGATAACTACCTTTTATGTATTTTGAAATATTTTAAAATAAGGAGTTTCAAAATTAAACCTATGTCCAAAGACAATTAGAACAAGAGCAAAAGAGAAGAAATTTCATAGGTGTTGAGCTTGAATAGTTGTCAGAAGAGAGAGTCACAGTCACCATATGGACCTTAGACAAGTCATTTAATCCTTCAACCTGTTTATCTCATCTCAGGTCCTGGAGTAAGTTATCACAACTAAGCTCTAAATTTACCTGTGAAACTTACTGTCCGTCAAAGCAAAAAAGGCAAACGTACTGTGTTTTTTGTTCTCATTATTGAATAAAAGGAAACACAACTGAAAATAGAGATTTTCTGCCACTGAATTTTCATGAGTACTGGGAGACAATTCTGCACGGATGTTTCTCATTCCTGTACAGATTGGGTTCTCAGAGCAAAGGACATGATTGAATAGCAATCAGCCTTGGAAGAAGATATATACTTCCCAAGACATGTCACAGGGCACTAAAGATAAAGCCCTCTCCTCCTTTCTCTCCAGAGAACTTAGCTTCTCTCTCCCCGCTCTCTCTCTCCTCCCCATTTCTCTCCCCCTCATCCCCTACCCCCAGGTTGGACAGACACACCACTAATCATATAAAAAGCTGAATTTCCTCATTTCGGGGTTCCTCTCCTGTGATACAAGTTACTATGTACATGCACAGGTAATATCTGACTCTAATCACATTGCCCTGTGGGAACTGAGGTGTGCAAAACCGACACAAGATAATGCTCTGATTACTGCTTCTGCTGCGAACAATCTGTGTCTCTGCCACAGGGTTTTGTGTCATCTGTCATTGTGTTTGTGTGTGTATTTGCATAACCATGGCAGGCTATCTTGTTAGCTTATATATAACATAAAAATCTCAGATCCTTTATAGTTCTAACTTAGTAAAGAGGAGCAAGAAAAAAAAAAGACTGAATAATATAATGAACAATGTCTTTAAACATGATTTCCTAATAAATACAGAAATAGTCCCTAAAGGACACTTCTCATATGATCCTCTGTAAAACCTATTTGTCTAACAATGTAAGGAAAGAAATGTTGAGGCAAAACATTAGATTCAAAAAGATATTTCAGTAGGAATTTAAAATAATACAATTCAGCTATGTTTCTTTTTGATGATCTAAAGATGCAAGGATAAGGTTTATTAGTGCTTAGAGAATCCAGTGGTTAACAAACATAAACCATTTTTTTACTTTCTCAAATATCAGATATTATAAGAGAACCTTTTAAAAATGCTGTCTCAGGAAGTCCGTAGTTGAGCCATCTGATGCTTTCTGGAAATGTCAAAATCTTTTGATTAGAGAGATTCCTGTGTCATAAATATTTCGTTAATTTTAGCCATTCCATCCATCATCCATTTTCTCACCTAGAAACAACCCAGATTTCTGTTTGAGGATTCATCCTTCCCCCTCTCTCAGGTCATGTGGTCTGGATGGAGTTCCAACCTTCACCCTAGGAGCGCAGCAAGCAATTGAGTCCTAGGCCAATTAATGGGTCCTATTTCCCTGGTTCAGAGGTAAGCCATTTTCTATGTGGGAACCTCGGGCTTGTCCAGGAATGCGGTGGGTCAAGGGCTCCCACTCTTTTCTGCTGTAATTCAGCCTGGAAGGATGAAGCTCTGGAATAGCTGCAAATCATCTTGTGACCATGAGAAAAATGTCAGTCTAAGAATGGAGTCACCACAGAGGAAGCAAAGCCAGGCAACGGAAAGAGAAAGGATCCTAGAGGCATCATTTGGTATCTATCTCCAGCAATGCCTGAAACCTTAATAATTCTGGATTGTTCAACTACATGAACTAATACATCTCCTCTTCTGCTTAACTCAGTTCAAGTCAGGTTTTCTCTCCCTTCAGCAAAAGAGTTAAACTGATTCACTCTGGGGATCAGATGCCAGACTTGCAAGACTCCAAATCTTTTGTAACATTTAGAATGCTCTGAAAAAATGTCCAGAATGAAAAACCCAAAGTTCTGTGACATAAAGTTTAGGAAAAAAAATTGATCTGAGTTTTAAGAACTGTCATCTTTTAACAAAGCCTCAATGAAACAATGTAGAAGACATAATTTGAAATATACCTGGATGTTGATAGGTCTAACAAAATAAGTTTATAGTTAAATATACTCAATATACTATGTCAATCAAAGGTTATTTTGGAAACATAGGTTATGGGGAAAATGGAACAAAATTATTTTTAAGGTTTGTTGTGGGATTTTATGTTTGATATAAGTAGTCATCTGTATGCTTATGTTTAGGATGAACTATTTCAAACTGACATTTTCATACAGCTCAATTAAGTAATAATGTTAAAAAAAGTCCATATTACTTCCTCTTTCAGATTTATTTAAACCAGAGAATATACTATCTTTAAAAAAGGGCCCAACCATTCATTTCTCTTCTCCAATTATTCTTCTTTTACATGTAGGATAACCAAATGTGCTACATTTTTCATTTTTCAAATCCTATAATTTCAAAACAGTTTCTATAAAAAGGCTCCATACTTTGTGCAAATGCAACATTCACTTACCTGCATGTTATACAGGGGTTGCTTTGGTGCATTAACTTCCCTCAGCAGACGATGAGCTATGTCCCTTAGCTCTAAAAGTCTACAAACAAGCTGAGGCTGCAGAAGTTCGGCCACTGATTTGGAGGATCTGGATATGCTATGCAATCCTTGAATTAATGTTCCCCGGTTGATCTTCGCTAAAGCAACAGACATTCTAATTTTCGATGTTTTCTGCATGGATTCTCTTTTCTGGAAAATAAGCCTTTGAAAAGTGACTGGTGTGATTCTCCAGAGAATTACTTAAATTTACTTTAGACAGAGACCAAGTACCACATAATTGTACATGGGGTGTGGTTTCATGCATATATTCAGTGTTTAATAATTATATACCGCCCTCTATACAAACCATTGACCCCACTATGTATTTTAAAACTATATATGAATATATGAATTTTTCCTTAGGATAACAATCCAGAATTTAAGTTATTAGTGTAAACATACAGGTTTTTCATTTTTCTCTAGGTTTATTTATTTTTTGCATTGATTCTTAAGAGCTCTTTCAAAAACACACAATTCTTATTCAAATATTATTCACTGTTTAAATTATGCAACCAATAGTTCTTATTCAAAACTTACAAATATTTTCCCAGTTTACTTTCAAAATTTTAAATGATAAAATATAGCATATGTATATAATGCATAACACAAATACCGTATATATTAATCAACAAGCTTAGGAAACTTTTACTTCTAAAAACTTTAATGCTTCTGTGAGCATTCTGATAGTAACAAATTTGCGACATGACCAAAACACATAAAATGTAATTCTTTCTTTGCTCTACCAGCAAATAAACCACAGGGAAATTACTTACAATGTGGTCAGACTACATTCCAGGCAATAAACAAGTATAATTTCCATTATTCATTTAAGTAATGTCATGGGTTTTTCTGACATTTTAGGACAAGCAACTTCGAATCTCTATTTGTTGAGTCAAAATATATAAGTATAAAACATCTTTTAACTGCACTTTTTTTTGTTCTACAATGAACATATATTTGTCTAAGAGCTAACACGTTGTATATTTGAAACGCCTCAATTTTAATAGAAGTAATACTTCTATTAGTGTTGCTTTTGTACTCAAAGTTTAGTTTTTTCTTACTAGTCAGAATTTGATGCTGGAGATAAATACATCCTCAATACACCCTCACTGTTCTAGCCTGTCAGCGAGGATGTATTTTTGCAGCATCTGGTGTCCCATTGTGTGGTTTAATCTGTTAACTTTATTGAAAAAGTCCTATTAACTCACCTGTGCTCTTAACCCTGCTAGTCAATACTAACAGAATGGAATCTAAATTGCTGGCTGCTACAATTCCTACACTTCCAAGCCATTTTATTTATTTTTTATTGTTACTCTATTACAGTTGTCCCAATTTTCCCCCTTTGTCCTCTTCCACCCAGTCCACCCCCCACACCCAGTCAATCCCCACACCACTGTCCACGTCCACAGGTCATCCGTACACGTTCTTTGACTAATCCCTTCCCCTTCTTTCCAACATTATCCTCCTCCCCTCCTCCCCCCATTCCCACTGGTCACTGTAAGTGTGTTACGTGTTTTCATGCCTCTGGTTTTGTTTTATTTGTTAGTTTATTTTGTTCACTGGTTCCTCTTATGAGATCATATATTTGTCTTTCACTGCCTGGCTTATTTCACTTAGCATAATATTCACCAATTCCATCCATGCTGTCACAAAAGGTAGGAGTTCCTTCATGCCTTCTGCTGTGTAGTATGCCATTGTGTAAATGTTCCAGTTTTTTTATCCACCCATTTACTGATGGGGACTTAGGCTACTTCCACAACTTGGCTATTGTAAAGAGCACTACTATGAACATTGGGGTGCATAGGTTCTTTTAAATTGGTGTTTTAGGATTTTAAGAGTATATTTCCACCAGTGGATTAACTGGGTCCAAAGGCCATTCTGTTTTTAATTTTTTGAGGAAATTCCATCAAGTGGAATTCCATCATTCCATTGAGTGGCTTCATCAGTCTTGATGAGATAGTATTCTCATCAACAGTGCAAAAGTGTTCCCTTTTCTCCAAATCCTTGCCAGCATTTGTTGGTTTTTGATTTATTGATGATAGCCATTCTGACAGGTGTGAGGTGATATCTCATTGTGGTTTTAATTTGCATGTCTCTGATGGACAGTGATATTGAACATTTTTTCACATGTCTATGGGCCCTCTGTATGTCCTCCTTGGAGAAGTGTCTATTCAGGTCCTTTGCCCATTTTTAATTTGATTGTTCATGTTCCTGGTGTCGAGATGTAAGAGTTCTTTATTATTTTGGCGATTAAACCCTTGTCCAATGTCTCATTGGCAAATATTTCTCTCATATAGTTGGTTCCCTTTTCATTTTGATGATGATCTCTTTGGCTGTGCAGAAGCTTTTTAATTCGATGTAGTCTGATTTATTTTTTCCTTTATTTCCCTTGCCCTAGGAGATATATAGGCAAAAATATTGCTATGTGGGATATCTGCAATTTTATTGCTTAGGTTTTCTGCTAGGACTTTTATTGTATCACCACTTATATTTAAGTATTTTATTCATCTTGAGTTTATTCTAGTGTATGGTGTAAGTTGGTGGTCTAGTTTCATTTTTTTACATGTACCAGTTCAGTTCTTCTAACACCATTTATTGAAGAGGATATTTTTATTTCATTGTAAGTTCATGCCCCCTTTGTCAAATACTAATTGGCCATAGAGACATGGGTTTACTTCTGGGATCTCTATTCTGTTCCATTCATCAATGTGTCTAGCCTTATGCCAGCACCACACTGTTTTGATTATAGTGGCCTTGTAGTTTTATATCAGGTACTGTGATTCCCTCCAACTTTATCTTCTTTTTCAAGATTGCTGAGGCTATTTGGGGTCTTTTTTGGTTTCAATACATTTTTGGAGTATTTGTTCTAGATCAATGAAATATACCATTGGTATTTTCATAGGAATTGTGTTAAGTCTATGGATTGCTTTGGATAGTATGGACATTTTAATGATGTTAATTCTTCTCCTCCATGAACATGGTACATGCTTCCATTTATTTGTATCTTCCTCAGTTTCTTCAGTGTTCTGTAGTTTTCCAAGTATAGGTCTTTTACTTCCTTGGTTAAATTTATTCCTAGGTACTTTATTTTTCTTGTTGCTATAATAAATGTGATTTATTTTCCTAGTTTCTCTTTCTAGTGGTTCATTATTGGTCTACAAAAATGTAATCTATTTCCGAATACTGACTTTTTATTCTGCTACTTTGCCAAATTCACTTATTGAGTAGTTTTTTGGTGGAGTCTATAGGGTTTTCCATGTACACTATCATGTTGTCTGCAAATAATGACAGTTTTGCCTCCTCCTTTCCAATTTGGATGCCTTTTATTTCTTCTTCTAGTCTGATTGCTGTGGCTAGAACTTTCAGTGCTATAAGAGTGGTAAAAGTGGACACCCTTGTTTTGTTCTTGATTTTAAGGGAAAAGCTTTTAGTTTTTGCGCATTGAGTATGATGTTGGCAGTGGCCCACTTTGCTACGTGTTTTTTATCATAAATTGGTGCTGGATTTTGTCACGTGCTTTTTCAGCATCTATTGATATGATCATATGGTTTTTGTCCTGCATTTTGTTTATGTGGTATATTACATGTATTGATTTGCAAATATTGTAACATCCTGGCATCACTGGGACAAATCCCTCTTGATCATGGTGTATGATCTTTTTAATGTATTGCTGGATTTGGTATGCCAATATTTTATTGAGAATATTAGAGTCTATGTTCATCAGAGATATTGGTCTGTAATTTTCTTTCTTCGTTGTGTCTTTACCTGGTTTTGGAATTAGGATAATACTGGCCTTATAAAAAGAGTTTTGGAGTCCTCCCTCTTCTTGAATTTTTTGGAATAGTTTGAGAAGGATAGGAGTTAGTACTTGTTTGAATGTTTGGTAAAAATCATCTGTGAAGCCATTTGGTCCAGGGCTTTTGTGTGCCAGGAGTTTTCTGATTTCACTAGTTGTTATCAGTCTATTCAAGCTTTCTGCTTTTTCTTGATTCAGTGTTGGAAGATTTATGTTTCTAGAAATTTATCCATTTCACCCAGATTGTCCACTTTCTTACTATGTTCATAGTAATTTCTTACAGTCCTTTGTATTTCTGTGGTACCAGTTGTTACTTCTCTTTTACTTCTAATTTTATCTATTTGGGTTCTCTCTCTTTCTTGATGAGTCTGGTTAAAGGTTTGTCAATTTCTTTGATCTTTTCAAAGAACCAGCTCCTGCATTCTTTGATCTTCTGAAATTTTTTTTAGTCTCTCTGCCATTTATTTTGCCTCTGATCTTGATTATTTCCTTCCTTCTACTTGCTCTGGGCTTTGTGGTTGTTCTTCTAGTTCTCTTAGATGTAGGGTTAGGTTGTTTGAACTTTTTCTATCTTCTTTACAAGGCCTATGTTGTTATGAACTTCCCTCTCAGGAATGCCTTCACTGTGCCCCATAGGTTTTGGGTTGTTTTTTGTTCATTTTCATTTGTTTCCAGGTACTTTCTGATTTCTTCTTTGATCTCATTGTTAACCCATTCATTATTTAATAACATGTAATTCAGTCTTCATGTATTTGAATGGGTTTGCATTTTTTTCCTGGAGGTTGGTTTCTAGTTTCAAGCCATTGTGATTCAAGATGTTTGAAATGATTTAAATTTTCTTGAATTTATTGAGGCTTGTTTTGTGTCCTACCATGCAGTCTGTCTTTGAAAATGACCCATGTGCATTTGAAAAGAATGTATATTTTGCTTCTTTGGGGTGAAATGCTCTATAAATAGCAACTAAGTCCATTTGATCTAAAGTGTTGTTCAATGTTTCAATATCCTTGTTCATTTTTTTTGTTTGGATGATCTATCCATTATCGACAGTGGGGTTTTAAAATCCCCTATAATGACTGTTTTACTCTCAATCTTCTTCTTCAAGTCCTCCAAGATTTTCCATATATATGTAGGTCTCCTATGTTGTGTGCATATATGAAGTCTGTCCAGAAGGTATCCAGCCATGTACTATGAAAAATAGAGACATTTATTGAAGATAAAAGATACAAGAAACATTGTACATGGAACAATAACACCTCAGACCCCTTCAAAGTAGGCACCTTGGGACCTCACATTTCTCCGAATATCCATCAGATGCCCAGTCCTATTTTTCCGAATCTCATCAACGGTCTGAAAT